GGGGCGCTCCCCGAGCTCCTTTGGGGTCCCCTCGGGCCCTTGCCGCTCGTCGTGGAGAGCTTTCCTGGGAGCCTGTGAGGGTCTCGGGGTCTCAGGAGGTGCCCCTCAAGAGGGCCCAAGTTTTGACGCGAATCCGATGCAACACCGTCCCTGACGAGACAGCGGATTGGCCCTGACGAGGCAGCGGTCCTCTTGGAGCCCTCCCGAAGCCCGCCCGAGGCCCCGAGGACGGCGTCGGAGGCCTCGAAGAAGCTTTGCAATTCAGCGCACGTTAGAAACTAAATGTTTCTGTGCAGAGGACGACAGACTTGTCTTGTCTTTGTTGATTGTTTGGTTTCTCTCGGGGCGTTCCCAAAGCTGTTTGGGGGTTCGTTCGAGCCAGCCCAGGCCGTCTTGGACGCAAATAGGACGGACCACAGCATGCGCCCAGCGTTTTTCCAGGAACATCCGAACGATATGTCCATAAGCCTCTCCAGGAATATTTGCATCGATGTCCCAGAAGTTTCTCTGTGAATTTCCGAGCAGATGTTCCGAATCACACCGCAGGAGCAAGAGGACAAGGAGAGGTGTCGAGCACGACGAAGACGACGACGGTCCCCAACGAGGGCTCAGGGTGTCTCCCGAGTTCTGACACGGGAGGCCACTGAAGGGCCAACCACGTCCAAGCCCGCACAAAAACGTGCATGGTCGACGACGACGACGACGGCGACGACGGCGACGACGGCGGAGACGACGACGCCAGCCGCGGCTGTAGCGGCGGCGGAAGCAAGAGCCCGCACGCTGGACGATCGCACGCGGGAGCCCCAAGGCCCTGGGCAATCTCGGCGACAAAAGCGACTTCGCGAGGCCCATGAATGCTCAAGATCATTTACAAACCTCGGCCCTCGATCCTGGACCCTTCATCATCCCTCCTCGGTCTCGACGACTGCGACGACGTTGGCGGCGACAAGGGCGACCACGACCACAACCACGACGAGAACGGCGATGACGACAGTGACGACGCGGAGCCCTGGCGGCCTCCAGAGGTCCGACGACGACCACAGTGTCTACGACCGATCGCCGGCGGCCGACGGCCTCCACGGAGATCTCCAGACTCCGGAGGCCTCCCGAGGCCCCGGGCAAGCACACCACGCCCCAGCACGTGCAGTCCTCCGACCACCGCCCACAGGACGACGATCGCCGCCACCGCGACCACCACGACGACCACCGCGGCGATCATCACGACGGCGGCCGCAGCCGCAGCGGGAGCGGCCGCTGGGGCGGCGGCGGCGGCCTGGCGGCCCGAAGCGGCTGGGCCCCTCCTCGGCCACCGTGGCAGTGACGCCACCTGCGCAGTCGGAGAAAGGTCTCGGGGCCTTCCGGCGCGTCGCGCGTCGATCTTTGCACGGCTCCGCAGCCGCCCACAGAGCCCGAAGTTGCCCCCCAGAAGGCCCAGCACCTCCACGCGCCGAGAGCGGCCCTTGCCTGGGGGGGTCCCCTCTGGCATCTCTTGGGTATAGCGGAATAGCGCAAGGTCCGTTGTCAACGACGATTGCGCAGTCGGCAGGAACCTAAACGCGCGTAGCGCGAGCGTGGTTCTGCTAATGTGTCGTCTTCGGTGGTTCCCATATAGCGATGCATGTGTATATGCACTTGTAGATTTGAGCACGTGTGGAGGTGTGGACTGACCATGAGCAGATCTGTGGTTTCTCATTCGCACGACATGTCTTCTTCACTTCGTACTCTCTGCCATCTGATCATGGCCGTGGTCGCAAGGACCTGGGCACCTGGCCGCCACCGGGAGCTCAAATACTTAAGCTTGATAATGCGGTTCTCGGGGCTGGAGGTCCCGGCGCTGCATACACCGTTGGGACCTCCGGGCCCGAAACTCACCACCCACCAGACCACCCCAACACGACCCGAAGGCTTCAATTTGCACTCCATTGCCAGTGGGGGGGGGGTCCGGGAACATCGAAAAAACACATATGGAGCCCATACCCCCCCCAACCTAAAATTCGGGTCTTCGGGTTGGGTGGGGTGGTCTGGCAGGTAGTCAGAAACAGGAAACCCTGGAAGGGAGTCTGGAACCAGGAACTGAGGCACCCGGCCGCACCTTCGCACCCCTCCAGTTCAAACGTTGCGTTGCTTGGACTTTCGGAACTCCGCGCGGATTTCTTGGATCGGCGCTGAGACCCTCAGGCGATGTCCTCCGGGTGTAAACATATGTTTTGTCAATCTTGTTTATCCAACGCGGATCCACGAAGTCCGTGCGGACATCCAAAACGATACGCGCCAGCTGGGGGTGGGGGAAGGACCCCATGTGACGTCGGGGCTGGTTGGGGGTGGTTTGGGGCGGCGACGACGACGACGACGACGACGACGACCGACGTCCCCTGGAGGCTCTCCGACGCCTCCGGAGTTGCAGACAGGCATTGAGTGGTTGTGGTGCGCACCTGTCGTTGCATCAGCAGTTGTGATGTACACAGGCGTTTCTAGCACTGTGGTGAACAGGAGCGCTGTGGTGCGCACGGCTCTTGTGGTGTCAGGCGCTGATGTGCAAGTATACGTTGCGACAGCAACATCGGTATTAGTCGGTAGGGTGCAGAGGCATGGTGGTGTGTACACAAGCGCTCTGGTGTACGCAAGCACTGTTGCTCACACTCGTTCTGGTGCACACATATGTTACTGCTGTGACATGTGTAGTGCACACAAGCACTGGTGTGTACACAGGCGTGGGGGGCAGTGCCGAATATACATTCAGGCACTGGGGCTTGGGGTGCTCGTGTTTTTCAGATTTCAGTCCCGTCGGGACCAAGGAGGCGTACATAGGGTTTGTGGTATACATAGGCACTGTGGTGTACAGGATCTGTGGAGCATGCACATGGTGCTGAAACAGCAGCTGTGGTGCACACTGGCAATGGGGTGTACACAGGCAGTGTGGTGTACACAGGCGATTTGGAGCACACGGCCACTGCGGTGAGCACAGGCATTGTTTTGTACACAAGCGCTGTGGCGCGCACGCATCTTGCTGCCACAGCAGCAGCAGCTATAATGTACACAATCGGTGTTGTGTGCACAGGCACCGTGGTGCGCACAGGCGTTGTGGTGTAAAGCGGCACTGTGCTTCACACTCGACTATGGTTTGCACGTGCGTTGTCGTGAACACACGACTTGTGTTGTACACAGGCATTGTGGTGCTCATGGGCATTTCGGTGTACGCAGACATTGTGATCTACCTTGGCATTGCTGTTCACACTGGCCCACTGGTGCACCCAAGCGCTGTGGTGTCCACAGGCGCTGTGTTGCACGGCCCCCCCGCTGGCATACTTTGGCAGGTACAGGCTCTACGTCCGCTGCTCGTGGCTATTTTCAGCAATGGCCTTCGCTGTGCCTGGCTATCCCTGGTAGATCCTTACCCACATGATAATCCGAACTCTCCTCACCTATTCCTAGGCATTCCAGAGCGCCGGCGCGAAACATGACGTGATCTGCGGCGGGGACGTGGCTGGCAAAGGCCTTTCTCGCGGACCGTTTCCGAGCGCCGTCTTTTCGCCCTGGGTTTGTGCTTGGCGATCCTGGAGCCCAGAAACGGCAGTTTTGCCAAGCTGCCAGTAGGGGGCCACAAGCGAACCCTACCCTTACCTCCCACGATTTCTGAGGGGGAGGGTGGGGTTCACTTCGCTCGGGTGCTCCCGGTCGAAGCGAACCCCACCCTCCCCCTCAGAAATCGTAGGGGGTAGGGGTAGAGTTCGCATGTGGCCCCTTAGGCAGAACAGGTTTGGACGCACTCACGCCAGCGTTAAGTCGGGCCTGTCCCCCTACAGGGGGATTTTCGACGAAATATATATATATACATTATATATATATATATATACATATATATATATATATATATATATATATATACCCCAAATACAGTCCAAAAATAGTATGGGGGCTATTTTTGGGCTATGTTCTGGCCTTCCAGGGGTATTTTTGGGGTATATTACCTAACAGCAATAACTGATAGGTTTCTAATGGGCTAAAAAGGGAGCAGCAAATGACTCCACAGGGGGGTCTGGGCGGGTGCCGGACAGGGTGCCGCAGAAGTCGTTTTAAGCCAACAGTCACACACTTCGTGCTCTTCGACCTCCCAGAACTCCATTCCCGGGCCACATTCTGAATGCCCGGAGCCAACTGTAGGCCACTTCGTGCTCTTCGACTTCCCAGAACTCCATTCCCGGGCCACATTTTGAATGCCCGGAGCCAACTGTAGGCCACTTCGTGGTCTTCGAGTTCCCAGAACTCCATTCCCGGGCCACATTTTGAATGCCCGGAGCCAACTGTAGGCCACTTCGTGCTCTTCGAGTTCCCAGAACTCCATTCCCGGGCCACATTTTGAATGCCCGGAGCCAACTGTAGGCCACTTCGTGCTCTTCGAGTTCCCAGAACTCCATTCCCGGGCCACATTTTGAATGCCCGGAGCCAACTGTAGGCAACTTCGTGCTCTTCGACTTCCCAGAACTTCATTCCCTGGGCCACATTTTGAAGGCTGCTGAGGCAGGCTGAGGCTGCTGAGGCTGAGGCAGGCTGATGCTGAGGAGGCTGAGGCTGAGGCTGAGGCTGAGGCTGAGGCTGAGGCTGAGGCTGAGGCTGAGGCTGAGGCAGGCTGAGGCTGAGGCCGAGGCTGAAGGCAGACTGAGGCTGAGGCTGAAGCAGGCTGAGGCTGAGGCTGAGGCAGGCTGAGGCTGAGGCAGGCTGAGGCTGAGGCTGAGGCAGGCTGAGGCTGAGGCTGAGACTGTGACTGCGACTGCCGTTGCCGCTGCGACTGTCATCGCGAATGCGACTACGACTGCGAGAACAGCAGAATTCTACAACTGGATTTTCATCTGAATCTTAAGGGGAATGCTTTCAGATATGCTTCTACACATCGCTGTTAGGTTGCTTTGCCGGGATAATTTTATTCTTCGTCGAAAATCCCCCTGTAGGGGGACACGCCCGACATAACGCCAGCGGCAGCGGAGCCGCGGCACGCCCCGCAGGCGCAGCAGAGCCCGCCGCGGCGGCGCCCCGTGCCAGCGCGCCCGCGGCCGCCCCCGCGGCCGCCGCCGCCGCGGCGCCAGCGCCGGCGGCCGCCGCCGCAGTGGCCTCGGCCGCCCCAGCGGCGCCGGCCCCGCCGCCCGAGGAGGAGCCGCGGGGCCGGGCGGGGCAGCGCTTCTAGGGTTCTGTCGGGCCTGTCCCCCAGACAGGAGGTTTTTTGACGACAAATAGAAAATACACAGGACATGCCCCCAAAAAGTCAGAACATACCCCAAAAATACTCCCCAGACTATTTTTGGATTATGTTTTGATTATTTTGTGGGTATTTTTAATTTTTCGTCGAAAATCCCCTCTGTAGGGGGACAGGCCCGACTTAATTCTAGGTGAACAAAGAGTGGCGTAAACATAATCAGAGGCACCAGCGTGGAATGGGGACTCCCCGCTGCAATGTCCCAGCAGAAAGCCGCGGGTCACGCCCGGAGGCCGCGAGGAGGACATCCACTTTTACGCCCATATCTTCCTTGACGGGGAACAAAAAGTGGCATGAACATAAAAACTCGGAGGTCCGCACGGATTTCTCGGATCGGCGCTGGGGCCCCCGGCGGCGGCGCCTCCGGCGCCGCCCCTGGCGCGCCCCGCGCGCCAGGGAGGGGGGTCCAGCGCCGATCCGAGAAATCCGCGCGGACCTCCGAGTTTTTACGTTTATGTCTTTTTCGTTTCCCTAGCTTCGGCGGCGAAGTCCGCGCCCTATCCTCCCCGATCAAGGATGCAGGCAACTCGATGGGTGGTGGGGGTGGGCTGTCAGATTTCGGCGGGCACGTGCCGGAGTCGGAGCCCTACCCCCGCCCTCATCGATTCAGGAAAACCGATGGTTGGTGGGGGTAGGGTTCGGGTGTGGGAGTGGCGGCTCCGCCATTATTCTTCTCATTGCCCCCCGGGCGCACTATTCAGTAGCGGCCGAGGGGTTGTGGGGCTCAAAAGCCTGGACCCCCGATTTGGGATAATTTTTCAGAAGTGCAGAGCATGTGTGCATCCAGACCTCGGGTAATCAGCTGGGTGTGCGCAACCCCAGGATGCGAAGAATGCGGTTCCAATTGGGCGATCCGCCCATGCTCCAGCCCCCGACGAGGGAGGGGAAGCTCCCCCTAGGAGGGGGCTCGGATGCTATACCCGAGAGCTCGAATTAAGAACACGGGGGCTCAGAGTTTCTGGCCGCGGCGGGGCAGAGCGATGCGGTATGATGGTTTGCCGGCCCTCCAGGTTGAGAGTTTTGTCTGTGGATTCCGTCAGCAGGATGGCACGCAGTAGAACACGCTTGAGGTCGAAACATCTGGGCCTCGGCGTGCCTCGGACACCGCTCGAACCTGCTTGTTGAGTCGGGGGCCTGTTGACCTCTCGCCTGTCTTGTATGTCTGAACCGTTTACTCTCAGGACGGGAAAGGCATGACCCAGAAAGTAAAATAGAATTGTGAGGCACGGTAGCGTTTTCAAGACACCTGATTGGGTGACGGGCAATGGCAATGGTGAGTGTATCGATCTCGTCTACCGTGCCAAGGGCGGTGTTGTACTGTGCCATGCTGAGTTTCGATGTGCCATGCCGCGACTGTGCTCTATAGCGTTGTGGGTCGAATCATATTTAGCATTCGAGTCCTGACCGAACTGACCCGGATCTTAAGCTCGAGCTGCCTGAGCACACAGTAGCCGCCCGAGAGCTAGTTGAAGTGGAAACGTGGAGGACGTTCAATCAACTCGACCTCAACATCCGATTCAGCTCCGAAAAGGAACGACACGACACGGGGTACGGGATCACGGACGCGCCACAGGATGTGCCAGGGGCGCAATCGGGGATGCGCCAGGAGACCTGTGAGGTGACGTGTCAGGGGACGTGCCCTGGACGTGTCAGGAACCTGCCACGGGACGTGCCAACGTGCGAGCCATGGGGCGGCCAGAGGACGTCATGCCAAGGGACGTTGCAAGGGGCGCGACACGGAACAGGCTGAGGGAACGCTTGGGTATGAGCCAGGAAACGCGACAGAGGATGCGCCAGGGAACGTGTCACGCCGAGTGGCGTGCTAGGGGACGTTCCCGAGCACGTATCGCCAGAATCCGCAAGTAACGCGCCAGGGGACGCGCCAGCGCGCCATGGGGACGCCCCACGGACTGGCGGGGTTGGACTGCGATGCAGTCTATTGCGACACGCTTCTCGCTCGAGAAATCCTCAACAAATCCTCATGTCGGACATCCGCCTGGGCGACCTTGGTACATAAAAACGAGCGTCTCGCCCTCAACAAATCCTCATGTCGGACATCCGCCTGAGCAACCTGGTCACGTGAAAACAAGCGTTTCGCTCAACACATCCTCAACACATCCTCATGCTAAACATCCGCCTGGGGGACCTGGGCACGTGAAAACAAGCGTTTCGCTCAACACATCCTCGACACATCCTCATGCTAGACATCCGCCTGGGGGACCTGGGCACTTGAAAACAAGCGTTTCGCTCAACACATCCTCAAGACATCCTCATTGTAGACATCCGTCTGGGGGACCTGGGCACGTGAAAACAAGCGTTTCGCTCAACACATCCTCATGCTAGACATCCGCTTGTGCGACCTGGGCACGTGAAAACAAGCGTTTCGCTCAACACATCCTCGACACATCCTCATGCTAGACATCTCCGCCTGGGGGACCTGGGCACTTGAAAACAAGCGTTTCGATCAACACATCCTCATGCTAGACATCCGCCTGTGCGATCTGGGCACGTGAAAACAAGCGTTTCGCTCAACACATCCTCGACACATCCTCATTCTAGACATCCGCCTGGGGGACCTGGGCACGTGAAAACAAGCGTTTCGCTCAACACATCCTCAACACATCCTCATGCTAGACATCTGCCTGGGCCACCTGGACGCGTGAAGCCAATCGTTTCGCTCAAGACATCCTCAAGACCTGGCACATGAAACCAAGCATGCCTCCAGAGACATCCTCTGAATTATGGCCCCAGGAGAGGAACGATCTATAACACAGAACAGGGTTTTTGCTTGATATATCCTCGACATTTGCAGCAACACCTGTGTATCACTCGAGACATCCGCAACAAACGAAAACCCCTACTTTACCATGTGTTGTATCGATCGGAATATCACAAACCAGCGTTTCGCTCGGGACATCCTCAGCTTTACAATTTGCCGGCCCTGCGCAAGCTCGTTATGTCATCGCAAAAGAAGATTCGCCGACCCTACTCGAGTTGAGGCCCGGCACTTGGTTTTATTTCCTAAAACGACCCCCCACGCCCTTTCCAGGAAAAACGCACAGACACAAATGAACGTCAAACCCTAAGGAAATATAGGAAAAGAGGGGAAGTGGGAGGGGGGCGAAACCCAAACAAATGTTAGAAAATATGGGAGTCCTAGGATTCGTGTCTCTGTAATCATGTAAATTCCACAAGGGATTTCGGCTTCCCCGACCCAGCTGTTGGGCGGGATCTCCCGTGGTCTGGCCTTGTCCTTGGCCGTCCCCCCTGCCGCCTCCGGCTTCCTTACACGAGTCGGTCGTTGAATGTAGGTATTTTTTCAGGAGGGGAAAAACACAGACACAATTCATCGTGGACTCCCAGGAAAATGTGGGAACATCTTGGAAGTGGGGGGGAATACGAAAACCCAGAAAATATGGGAACATACAAGGAGCCATGGGATTCGTGTGTGTCCCAGGGTCCTTTTAAACCCTTGTGATCCCCGGATCCTGATCTACTTCGAGCGCCTTCCTACTTCAAGAACCGATGTGCTTGCGCTTTGCTGTGTTATTCTATGGGAGGGTCGGAACCCAGTCTACTTTTAAGTCGGGCCTGTCCCTCTACAGGGGGAATATTCACAAATTGTTTAAACATAGTCTGGGGATTTTGTTCTTCAGTATTGTTGGGCCTCTTTTGGGTTTTCTTCTGGTATTCTCCATGTTTCGCCCACAATCCCCCTGTAGGGGGACAGGCCCGACTTCAGTCTACTTTATATCCGTTCTCCTGCCTCATGTTGTTAACCTCCTTCTTCCAGCCGACGGGCGCAGGCGAGCACGTGATCGAGAAACCTTGAGAAGCCTCCTCCGAAAGTCAGCCACGCGCAGAGGGGGGTGGGGGGAGGGGGGAGGGCTTCTTAGAAGCACCCCTGCTTCTTAGAAGGCGCCTTCTAAGAAGCCTTCTAAGAAGCAGCCTCCTTCTAAGAAGCCCCCCCCCCCTCTCTCCAGCCCCCTGTGCGCGCCGCCAAGAAAGGCTGGGCCGGCGTCTCTCCAGCCCTTGTTTTCTCGAGCTCGACAGCAGCAGTTGGCCCAGGCCTGTCTCGAGACAGTCTGGCGGAGTCGGCCCAGATTTCTCGATGGGAAGATTACGGGTCGCGTGTTCGGCTGTAGTTTTGCCCTCTCCCCGATGGTCTCCCCAGTCGACCCAGCGCCCGCCCTCCCGCCGTCGATTCCCCTCGGTCCGTCCACCTGTCTCCCCCCCTGCACCACGGCTCCGCCGTCTGTGCTCGGCCGTGCCTCCAGCCGCTTAGCTTGAAGTCGGGCCTGTCCCTCTCCAGGGGGGGTATTCGAAGATAGTGAAAACATAGTCTGGGGGATTATTTTCTGAGTTTATATTTTGATAAGTTTGGGGTATTTTGGGGTTATCTGTTTATGTTTCGTCGAAAATCCCCCTGTAGGGGGACACGCCCGACTCAAGCTTAGCGGCCTGGATACGCCAGTTTCGAAACGCAACGCGTACCCTGCTCAGACCGTCCGTGCTTACACGCTGCCTGCTGACGCAACGTGTTGACACCCCTTTGGGCGAACGTGCCGCGCCGAGCCGACGCTTTTTCATCTCCGTGTCGAGCTCCGTGCCAACACGCTGCCCTGTCCCCGGCCGTCCCGAGCCTTGGTCTTGGCATCGCTCGGATGTGTGCATTTTTTCCTGGCCAGGACCTTCGCGGAGCACCCTCGACCATCGGGCCAGCAAGAACGCGCACGAAATTGACAAACGCCTTGGGGACGGGACGGCCGAGCGACGGCGAGTTGTGCCGCCTGGAAGAACGAGAAGTAAACCAGCATACGTGCTCGGAGGTCCGTGCACATCTCCCCGTCCCTGTCCCCGACCGTCCCGATCCTTGGTGCCTGCCTGGAAGACCGACCAGTACACTGATGTGTCTTCTCGGAGTCCCGTGCATCTCTCCCTCTTCGGCGCCGGGCCCCGTTGCGGCGCCGCCGTCGCCGCTTCTGGCGCGCGCTCCGCGCGCGGGGCGTCCAACGCCGATGCAAGAAGTCCGAGCGGACCTTCGGAAGTCTGTGTTCACTTGATCGTTTTCTTATTCCTTGTTTTGCCGATCGGCGCGGGTCTTCGCACCCCCCCCCTGCCATGGAGTAACTCTTGGCTCTTTCTGCTGGACGCGCTGTTGCGAACAGTCGCGCTAGGCAGAGGTCCAGAGCAAGAGCCCCCCCCCCCCCTCCCCCCCCTTCCGCCCAATGTCGAAACGCCGAAACAGGGAACGTTCATTATACAGTTTTGTCTTATTAGATTGCTCTCCGTTGCCGCCGATCCCCTCGGCTCGGCCCTGTCTCCGACGGTTCCCAGCCGTGCGTTTTCCCTCCGTCGCCGCTGATACTCCATGGCTCGGTCGCGCTTTACGGCATCATCGAGGGGCCTGTGTTCTGTCCAATTGTGTGGGGCCCATGTGCGAGCTGCATTCCTGAGGGTTGTGGTGCTGACTGTTTGCAGCGATCCTGGGCCAAAGAAGCCTCAGCGGTCCTCAGTGCGGCTGTGGGCGAAACAAGTGTGGCACGCACGCGCACGGGCACAGGTATATGGGGCACGCACCCATAGCCCCTGCAAGAGCAGGAGGAAGACGAGTGGGATAATTAGGGGAACAAAAAGTGACATACACATAAAAACTCGGAGGTCCGCGCGGATTTCTCGGATCGGCGCTGGGGCCCCCCGGCGGCGCCGGAGGCGTCGCCCCTGTCGCGCTCCGCGCGCCATGGAGGGGGGTCCAGCGCCGATCCGAGAAATCCGCGCGGACCTCCGAGATTTTATGTTTATGTCACTTTTGTTCCCCTAATAATGATAAGATATGTGCTCTCGCGCCGTATCTGACATCCTACCCCTTCCACCCATCACTTCCCACTGCGCGGATTCTTGCTCCGTCCGCGGACGCGCGCGCTATAGCGGGCATGGAACCCGCGAGAAGGCCGCAGCAAGTTGTGCGCACGGGAGCTGCCCACATAGGACGGGAGGGCCGCGGACATGCAGAAGGATGAGCAGGAGGGAAAGGAGGATGAGGAGGGAGAATGAGGACAAGGACGAACACCAGCAGCGGGAACTGGAGTGGAAGGAGCCTGAGGAGCAGAATGACCGGTGGAAGGCGGAGGAGGGGGACGACAATCATGGGAAAGGACTCGGATCTAGAAGACTGGCCCGCGCTGGGGCGAGAGCGCCATTCTCAAACACGGGAGCAAAGCGCCGATTTTAAGTATAGGCCAGCGCTTCAGCGGCACAGCACCATGCTGCGATGCTGGAACGGCTCCGATGCGAAATGGCTTTCACAAAAACACGCCACATGACCTCTTGTGTGTCGAGACAACTACGCGGAGGGGGCGGGCGACTTGCCCATGCGTCGGGGTGGGGGGGGGAGTTTAGGATTCCGATCGAGACCATATTCGGGAGGACGAGGAGGGCGAGCCGTTCTTGGCCAGCCGACGTCACAATCCAGGTGCGTATCAATCGATGCCGCGAGAAGCGCCCAATCTGCGCGGTTTCACACTGCGCAGGCGCATCCTCTTCGCTGAAAGCGTGGTGATGCAGTGCGGTAAGGTGCAAGATGCGCATACTAACAAGTTGTATTGCCTCGCAGCTCACTGAATAGCCCCGACTGGCAAATCAAGTTTATACATCACGAATAGGACCACCTTCCGGGTGACGAGGGGATAGGGGGTTCATGGGTGCAGCTTGCGATTTGCGGTTGTCGTCGGGTCAGATTCGCAATGGATTGGCCGATCTCGATATCCACCTAGCGATCTATCGATCAACCGTTATCACTCTACATCCATTCATCCCACTACCACAATACCGATCGATCTCTCTGATTGCCGATCTCACTGCCATTGTATATGCCGATTTCATGGTGTGTCGTTCGACCTTACGACTTGCCGGTCTCACCATCAATCAACCGATCCCGCTATCAATAGATGGGGCGATTTCGAAATATGTGGATCCTGCAATTGACCCAGCTTTGCGTCTATCAAGTGGCCAGTCGGCCTCACAACAGGCTCCAGTATACATCTACCAATAACACTGCACATGTCTACAACCTACATGCGTATATGTATATACATATATATATATATATATGTGATGCCGTCCCTGAAGATGCTGCGCCCGATGAGCCAGGTCTTCTACGCGGCGGAGATATTGGGGCGACTTGTGCTGAAAACGGTGCAGTGCAAGAGCATCCCGCTGGCGGAGGCTTTCTCACCGCTGCTGGAGAACAGGATCCGCGGGAAGTTGGCGGCGACCGTCCCGAAGTGGCAGGACATGACGATCACGGACATGGCGGAGTACGTTGGTGTGTGTGTGTGGATGGGGTCGTGTATGGACGACATCACGCGTTGGCAAAAGGTGATCGCGGACTGGCAGCGCGTGACCAACCCGATCGCGGATGTCGGCGCTCCCACGAGCATTTCCATCCTTCTGTGCAATCAGCGCGCCGCGAGCAAGACCTCATACCTAAGTCAACTGTTCGCCATCGAAGATGAAGCGCAAAGAGGCATGCGCTCTTCATCGCTTATGGCATCTACCTCCTCAAGCTCTTCCACGTGATGTTCTGCTTGCTATCGGCTGTTGGTCCCCCGCTCTGAAGTTGGCCCCCCTCGAGCTGAGCAGCCGCGCCGCCCTGATGCGCAGCGCCTCCGACTCGGTCCTGAATTGGCCGTACTGGGCGAAGAGGCTGAGGGAGGCGGCGGAGACGGCTCTCAGCTTCTACGTGCGAACCCGTGGCCACGACCTCTACGACCCGCTCCACTCGAAGTCCAGTCCGATCGCTCACACGCTCGAGGACGCGGCCCAGGGCTTCAATAATGACTCGAACAAGAAGATGGCCAGTGCGTGCGGCTCCGCGATGATTGAGTGGACAGCTGAGGCTGAGAAGGCGCGCTTGCTCTTAGAGCGCCCCAAGGCCCGCCTTCGCATGCAGAAGCTTGTTCGTCTTAGTCTCATCTCTTCCCTCCTGCGTGACTGCCTCCCCTCGACTGTCTTTGCTCGCTTCAATTCCTGGGCCATTCCTCCCGATAGGTTCACGTTGCGCCAGATCGAGTGGGAGTCGCTCACAGAGCTTCTCTCGTCAGCTTTTCCCCCGGCGGCTCATCCTGCCCTAATTAAGACCTGGGCGGGTGGATGAACCACCAGTCGTCGCTTGCGCACCTCCTCGGGGAGCACAGGTGCACCTTGCATTTCCGGATGCTGCCGCACTGGGATCCCGCGTGCCCTTGACGCCATGCCTCATTATGCGCATTGCCCCCCCCCCCCCCCCCATTTGGAGCACCATCCGCAACACATGGGGTCCCAATCTCCCCATTCCTGATTCATTGCCTGCGCGCCTCGATCCCTGTTGCGAGAACGCAGATGTTTACTCACAGCGCCTCGCTTTGGAGTGCATGAGTATTGCCTTTTCATATGTACAACGTACAGTCGAAGTTGGACCCAACCAAGCGGTCCCAGCCTACAGCAGATTTGGATAGCGTCCGCTCTGCGAGAGCGGCGCTCTTTGCTACATACAAGCCCGCTGGGCACTGAGGTGTCGAACGCTGAACTCTGCTGAGCCAGGAGGGATATATATACACATTTATATATATATATATACTTATATATATATACATTTATATATATATATATACTTATATATATATACATATATATATATACATATATACGTGTATCGGAGGGTTGGGGGCTGATATCAAAGTAGATCGGAGAGCCCCCCCAGTGGGAACTCGGTTTCAGTTTCGGGTTCGTGTCGTGCGTGCGGGCGGGGCGGAGCTGCGTGGGCGGGCGAGAAGAATGACTCGCTGTTGCTAGGGCGGGGCAAGACACTTGTCTGAACTTCCCCCAGTCGGCGTGGGGTAGCCCAGTTGTCCCGCTGTGATGTCCCCATGGTGTCCCGTGGTATCCCCTGGTGGTCCGTCAGTGGTCCGTCGGTGGCCCGTTAGTGTCCCGCCGGCGTCCCGTAGTGAGATCGGTAGTGGTATCGATAGTGAGATCGATAATGAAACCGATAGTGAGATCGATAGTGAGATTGGTCATGAGTTCGATCGTGAGAAACACCGTGTGATCGATAGTGACGTTGTCACCAGGACCGGTAGTGGCATCGATCGTAATATTGATCGTGAATTCGATATTGAGATCGATCGTGGCATCGATATTGTGATAGATCACGATGTCGATAGGGATATCGATAGTGATATCGGCAATAAGATCGATAGTGAGATCTGTCGTAAGGGCAATGGAAGGTTTGATGGTGGTATTGATTGTAGGATCGATTGGGTGCGTCGCTGGGTTCTTCCTCCCGAACTTCCTTCTCACCCGAAGGGTGGTCGTATAGGTATATATGTATGCACGTACATCGATGTATATATATATATATATATAGATCGGTCCGTCTGTGTATACATATATATATATGTCTAAACATACACACATATATACACAGAAGTGGCAACCATGGAATATTCATGGGACAACCGTGGGACAACCACGAGCAGCGGTGTGTTCTTGGGGGGGGGCTTCAGGGTGTTGCCTGGGGGCGTCCAAGGTTCTTCTGGGGGCTTATTGGAGACTGTGTTGGACAAGTTGAGGCCGCATTGGGACATCTTGGGGCCAGCTTGGAACAATACTGCGTGGTCGTCCTGAGGCCCGCCGACCACTGGTCACCACTCTTCGGCCGCTCTTGGGCATCCTGGGTGCCTCCTGGAGTTTTCGCTGGGCTCTCTTGTGGGATTTTGGTGCCCTCTCGGGGTTGCCCTGGGCCTGGTGGGCCCCCCCCTGGGGCCATCTCCTGGCCGAGCCCGCCGGGGCGAGAGCGCCATGATCCTCCACACTTCAATTTCCAACCATCGTGTTCAATCAGCGGTGCCGCGATCCACCTCCTCCCAGCACCTCCTTCGCTTCCTGCGCGCCCCTGCGGCGCACCCCTCGCGCACTCGTGGCCCCACGTGGGAGCTCCGCCTGCGGTCTCCGCGGGTGCCGGCGTGCGGCGGCACCGCGCTCGCAGGCATTGCGGCTCAAGGCCCTGCACTCTCGGGCCGCGGGCGGGGGGTTTGGGGGTCCCCCCCCCCCGCGCAGAGCCCTTCTGGATCCAATCGATCCGATTTGATGTTGAATTCGGGCGGGCCCGTCCCGATCAGGACCCGGACTGGTGCAGGCCTTCCGGCCGGCGCCGCCGAGCCTGAAGGGGGAGCCCGAGGATTTCGACGATCCGATGCTTCCATATGGCGCTGTTTTTCAGCTTGGCTCAGCCTTTCCGATCCAGCGTTGGCCCTGTGCCGATGCATCATGCTCGGAAACTGTAGCATATACATTACCAGTGGCGGGCTGTCAGAACTTTTTGAGGGTCGGGGGCGACGTCGGGGTCGTGTGGTGTACACTTCTTTCCCCGTTGTCCTGTGGAAACAACGAAACATGTATACATCAGGATCCCGTATACACCAAGATCCGCTCTCTTGTGCGAATTTCAGGGCATGCCGAAACAACAAGCGTCGGTGTACATAGAGTTCGGTTCCCTGGCCTCATGCATCCCTTGATCCGGCGCGATTCGATCCGGTTTTATGTCGGGCACGTCCATTTGCAGGGGGAATGTTTGAACACAGTTAAAAAATAGTCTGGGGACGATTTTTCGATTACTTTTGATTACTTGCTTTGACATGTTTCCATGTTTCGTCAAAAATCAACCTGTAGGAGGACGTGCCAGACCTAAGCCTGGTTTCCCGATTCGATGCTGACTGCTGCTGCCCAGCGCCGGCGGCGGGCGGCCAATGAGATTGGTCTTTCTTCGCTGGCTCGAGTAACGGTCGTTCTCGGGCCCAGCAGCCCCCCTCCCGAGTAACGGTAACGATCGTACGTTGGGGGGGGTCGGAGGAGGAAAAAGTACCCATCGGTAGTTGAAAGTAGGTGGTTGGGGATTCCCACATTCCAATATACTTTAAGCGCCTTCCTGCTTCCATGATCGAGTGGCTTCACCTTTTCCGTGATCCTCAGCAGGCGGACGGAATCCAATCCTATTTCAACGCCTTCCTACTTCATGTTTCTGCCCACTTCCGACCGATGGGTACCCATACCACCACCCCTCCCTTGTGTTCGCCTTTTTGGGCCTCCTCGGAGGCCCTCGTCGCCTTCCGCTGCAATCGCTTCGAACTTCTGGCCCGAACGCACCCTGGGAGAGGTCCGAGGACCAGCGGTATCGGCATCTTTCGGTTTCCCAGGGGAGGGGGGGGGGGGGGCTGGATCCCCCCCCCC